ATAATAATAATAATAATAATAATAATAATAATAATAATAATACACAACTACTACTACTACTACTACCACCACTATTAACTTAGGTCCAAAACACACTGCATCAATAATAATAATAATAATAATAATAAACTACTACTACTATTACTATTACTGTAGGTCCAAAACATATTGCAAACTTATTATTATTATTATTATTATTATTATTATTCCTTTTAGTCCAAAATATACTGCAGAAATAATAATAATAATAATAATAATAATAATAATAATAATAATAATAATAATAATAATAATAATTATTATTATTATTATTATTATTATTATTATTATTATTATTATTATTCCTGTAGGTCCAAAACACACAGCAGAAATAATTCAGTTTGAGACCACTTTAACTGCCCTGGCTCAATGAGAAGGAATTCTGGGAACTGTAGTTTTGTGAGACAGTTAAAGCAGTCTCAAACTGGAGTATTTCTGCATTGTGTTTGGGACATAAAGGAATAATAATAATAATAATAATAATATAACAACAGTAGAGTTTTAGGCATTGGGACTGCATCCACATTGTAGAAAATAATCCAGTTTGACACCGCTTTAACTGCCCTGGTTCAGTGCTAGGGAATCCTGGGAATTGCAGTTTGTTATGGCACCAGGGCTCTCTGACAGAGAAGGAAAAATAGCTTACAGAACTACAAGTCCCAGGATTCCATAGCATGGCACCAACCTGGATCATTTCTTCTGTGCGGATGCAGCCTCAGGCGAGAATGGTGCAGTGGTTCCCAAACAGTTGGGTTTTTTGGACTCCAACTCCCAGAATTCCTGACTGTGGTCCAAGTTGGCTGGGGCTTCTGGGATCTGAAGTACAAAATACCTGGCGAACCAAAGTTTGAAAAACACTGGGTTAGAACGAATCCAGCAACAGCCGGGAACTTTACAAGACGTGTTGCGAAGCTTTCTGGGAATTGTAGTCCCTGGGCCTCTGTACCACAGAGAACCATGGCGGCTTTCGTTTCGGTAATGATCGGAAATTTTCGGAAATAGTCGGCGCCATTCAGATGAATTCGGTGACGCCTCGGAAAGGCCGAAGTAGTGTCGTTCCTCAAAGGAGGGGTTTCCCTCACTTCGGAACCGCTGACTTCGAGTATTTCCGTATGGCTCTAAGAAGGCTGCGGAAAAGACAGATGCCGACAGCCGAACAATGAATCGGGAACCATCGGAAACCGTCGGAAACTCTCGGCTCAGTTCGTTCCCACTCGTATTGAACGTGAAGCGATTATTGCCCTATGGAGAGCCTTTGACTGCATCTGCACTGCAGAAATAACCCAGTTTGACACCACTGTAACTTCCGTGGCTCCATTCTATGGATTTCTGGAAATTATAGTTTGTTTTTTCGCACCAGGGCCCTCTGACAGGAAAGGCTAAATGTCACACAAAACTACAAATCCCAGAATTCCATAGCATGGAGCCAGGGCAGCTAAAGTGGTACCAAACTGGGTTATTTCTGCAGTGGGGATGTACCCACAGTTACAAGCCAATGTAAGATGTGCTTTTTAGTAGTGGTTTGAGTATTGGACTATGACTGTGGAGACCAGGGTTCGATTCCCAGCTCGGCCATGAAACCCACTGAGTGACCTTGAGCTAGTCACACTCTCTCAGCCTCAGCAAAAGGCAATGGCAAACCTCCTCTGAACAAATAAATAAGAAAATAATACATAAAGATTTGATTTCCTTTCTCTTATAAGCACCAAGTTTAAACCTATGATATAAAAGTTTTGGAATTCAGAAAGACTAACATGGCAAATAAGACGAGCAAAAGAACAGATACCTTTGAGATAACATGGTTTCCATGTATTTCCTATGTAAATCAAATTAATGAGGAATCCAATAGAGCAAATAATTGTAGGGAGACTTACTTTGTATTTCAAGATCAGGATAACATAACTCATGTTTTCTATGCAAGCATTTGTCAATGGTTTTGCGCTACTGATCTACCTTTGCCATGCTAATTTCTGTTTTTCAAAAATTAATAAATTTTATTTAATAAAAAACGAATTTTTTATCATACAGTCAGTCTTCTGTATCCACAAATTCTATATCCACGGATTCAAGCATTCGTGGCTTGAAAATATTTTAAAAATATATAAATTCCAAAGAGCAAACCTTGATTTTTCCATTTTACTAGGACACTATTTTACTAGGCCGTTCTGTATAAATAATACAGAAACTAGATTTAAAGTGAAAATAACCCGCAAATAATAATTATATGCCCATCATATCGTGTGTGTGTGTATATA